CCTCTGTTGTTTTTTGTACTGCCATGACTGAAGATGAATATATTGAAAGTTTCTCGCAAAAAAGAAGACTAAACATTTGCTAAACTGGGAAGTTATATATATTATGTGCTCTTTCCAATTTTGTGATGTTCTTAGCTACTCCCTTCGTTACAAAATAGATGACTCAACTTTGTACTAACTTTAGTACAAAATTAGTATAAAGTTGAATCATCTATTTTAGAATGGAGGGAGTAGTTTTTTGTACGACCTATTGACCATGAGCTTGGTCCAGGTCTTAATGCTAGTTTTATCCGAATCATGCCATTTCCACTAAATTATTCAGAGTTACTTATTATGTGCAGTTGCCAACTTTCCATGTTGTGAGAGGGTGGATCTTTGTATTATTGACAATGAGCTTGGTCGGTGGTTAATAATGTACAAGTTTTGATGGTTTGTTTTTACAGTTTTGCTATAACTCATCTAGATGAGATATAGTTTGGTCTCATTCACCTTTTATAGCCATTGGATGTGATGCTATAAGATGCGTGTGTGCTGACATGGGTTGTATTTGTTCTTGTTTTTAAAGTGAATGAGACCAAATTATATCTCATCTGAATGAGTTCTAGGTACTCTTTTGTTTTTATCTTTAACTTAACTTTCAATGGGCTTGCACCGGATGGATGTGGGGGAAAGAGAAATATACTCTACTTGTTGTCTCTTAGTCGGGTTTGTGAACAATTAGTTTGTTTATTTAGACTATGCCATTTTCACCTTAATAATTCAAAGTTATATGGATTTGTGTATGACACTGAGCTTGATCGGTGTGTGTTAGTTTTGTTCAGATCATGCCATTTCCTCCTTTATCCAAAGTTATATGTTATCCGTCGTTGGCTGTCAAACGAATGTGAGCCCTTAAAGTTTGGAGGGGAGACGAGCTTCGTTATAAGCAACTCTCTTTATATACAAATAAATTACAAAAATACATGAAACTTTATTAAAAAAACATGTGTGGCACGTTGTCCATATCTTAATTGTTTCTGACCTAGCTAGAGTAGGCCAAGAATGTCGCAATGTCGGACATGGAGAAGCCGTTGAAATGGGAGCCGGAGCCGATGGAGTAGGCGCCCATGTCGTCGAACACGAGCCAGTCCCCCAGGCTCATCTCCGGCAGCCGGTAGCCGGTGACCACCGTGTCGAGCGAGTCGCAGGTCGGCCCGAACACCGTCGACGTGTACGCCTCCTCGCCGGTGCGTGGGGTGGCGAGCGGCCTCGGGCGGGGCACGTAGTCGTCCATGAGGACGCAGTTGAGGGAGCCGTAGAGGCCATCGTCGATCCAGTACTCCCGCACCTCCCCGCGCGTGCGCTTCCCGATGACGCGCGCCGCCAGCGTGAAGGCCGTCTCGGCGAAGTACCGCCCCGGCTCTCCGAGGACCTCCACGCACGGGAGGTCGCCGAAGTGCTCCGCCAGCGCGTCGCGGATGACCACCGCCGCCTCGTCAAACGCGGTGCCTCCTGCCATGAAGCCGCCACCGACGTCGAGCACGCGCATGGGCGGCATGCCGAGGGTGGCGGCCGCGTCGAACGCCGCGCGCGCGGCCTCGATGGCCCCGCGGTACACGTCGGTGCGGGTCCCGCCGCTGCCGATGTGGAAGGACACGCCGGCCACGCCGAGGCCCGCGCGCTGCGCGGCGCGGAGCAGCGGCACCGCCTCGTCGGCGTGCGCGCCGTACTTGGTGCCGAGGTCGACCTTGGCGTCGCCGTTGTCGGGGCCCTTGATGCGGAGGATGAGCTCGCAGTTCGGGTGGCAGCGCTTCACCTTGGCCACCTCCTCCTCGGAGTCGTACGTGGTGAGGTTGACGCCCACCCGCGCCGCGTACTCGATGTGCGCCTCGGGCTTGCACGGGTTGGCGTACACGATGCTGCCCGGCTCGACCCCGAGCGCGAGCACGGCCTCGATCTCCCTGCGGCTGGCGCAGTCGAACCCGGCGCCGAGCGCCGCTAGCGCGCCGAGCAGCGCCGGCTCCGGGTTGCACTTGACGGCGTAGTATGCCCGCACGTCCGGCAGCGCGCGGTGCCAGCGCATGTACAGGTCGACGACCCTGGCGAGGTCGAGGACGTAGAAGGCGCTGCGCACGCCGGAGCCGGCGATGGAGCGCATGAGGCCGGCGATGGCGTGCTTCTCCTTGAGCGCGTCCCGCTTGTAGGGGAGCACCTGCTTGCCCTTCACCCCCGGCGCCACCAGCACCGCCTGCATGGGGCTGCTTCCGACCATGTCGACGACGACGACGACGACGTGATCACACCACACGTGAGTACGTAGTGCAAAGTGTGTGTACTATAGCCCTAGAAGATTTCTGAGCCTAGCTAGCTTGCTAACTTAAGGTTGCTTGAGCTAGACGTCGGCGCGATCGAGCAATGCAAGTTGACCACCGATGCCAAATGCAGATCGAGGAGGTCGATCGATGGCTTGGTCGAATGCTTAATACTGTTGCCTGGCTGAGATGAACTGGGTGGGTGTGGGTTATATATAGTGTACGCGGCCGGGGTTAGGTGGCGGCGTGGTCAAATGGACCATATAGACGAGCCATGCGACGCTGCGGCCGCATTTCCAGAGCGTGCGACGCTGCGGCTGGGGCAGTTCCAGCTCGCACGTACCTACGGTAGGTAGAGCCGTAGAGATAGAGAGGCGGGGCGTTCTGATTCGGTCAGCCCGGTCATTTTTCTTGCTACAGTCTGTTCCTTTTTAAGACGGAAGCGAGACTAGGTACATGTACCCCATTCCAACCACTACAAAAACACATGAGCTAGCATCTCGTCTTTTCCACTGCTGTTCCTTTCGTTCTTGAACAAGAAATAATTCTTTAGTACCATTGGCACGTTTAAAATGATTTCTGAGGCCATTCCCAGTGCTCCTTGGTGTATAGGTGTTTTTTACTTGTAGTTTTCCGGATCTTTATTTGGAACTTGGATACTCAGCCGTTCGCATTAATAAATGGTTGTTTGCATCATGTGATGCAGATGCCTGGTGTACTTCTCCTTTTCAAAAAAAAAAGTGCTAAAAATGCCACATTGTCAAAAAAAAAAACTGATGTGGCAAAGCAATTAAGATGAACATAGATCACTTTGGTGACCATGCATTTAATTGTTTATGCATTTTATAGTGGGTAGTGTCATAGGTGTGATAACATAGAGACCCTCATTTATTACTTTATAGAGTCGTTTTGTATTGAGAAGTGCTATGTGATGGTAAGACTAGCCACAATGGGTAGTACTTCCTCCGTCTATGTGAGTAAGTCATTTTAGGTTGTGCACCGTGACCAAGAAGGAGGGGAAAACAAAAAAACTTAATGTTCATTTGCTAATTAATAGCATTGCATGCAATGAACTAACCATTGCATGTCGTGTTTGGTAGTCTCAAGTCATTAAAAACATGCACACCTTACTTCTCTTATTGGTTGATATGTCAAGAAACAAGAAACGAGGTAGAATTTAATGCACCGCGCCTAAGTGTTTAGGGATTATTTGGTTTTTGTAAGATGACTTACACACCTAGACGGAGGGAGTAACATACATTAGTAACATACACATACCCCTAGACTATGTTACTACCTTCATAGTGGGTAGTAACATAGGTGTGGTAACATGCAAAGCTTCATTTATTAGGTTATAGACTCATATTGCATTGGGACATGTGATGTTACAGTAACTAGCTAAGTTACTATAACTATCTCTCTCCTCATTAACTCACTGCCACATAAGCAAATTTGCTGAGTTGGACTCGATGTTACTGCTGAAGTTACTCCCACTGTGGCTAGTCTAACATACTTCCTCCGTCTAGGTGTGTAAGTCATTTTACGAAAACCAAATAATCCCAAAACACTTAGGCGCGGTGCATTAAATTCTACCTCGTTTCTTGTTTCTTGACATATCAACCAATAAGAGAAGTAAGGTGTGCATGTTTTTAATGACTTGAGACTACCAAACACGACATGCAGTGATTAGTTCATTGCATGCAATGCTATTAATTAGCAAATGAACATTAAGTTTTCTTGTTTTCCCCTTCTTCTTGGTCACGGTGCACAACCTAAAATGACTTACTCACCTAGACGGAGGGAGTATTATGTTACTACTCTATTTCTCTCTCTCTCCTCCTTAACTACTTGCCAGATCATTTTTTTGCTTATGAGGCATGTATGTTACTACCTCCATCCGGGTTTAGAGGGCCGCCCGACCGAAATGCAGATACCAAGGCAGGGATTAATTCTGACTGCGCGCGATTTCCTAGCGATGTATCCTTGCGCAGTAATTGCATGCGATGCTTCGGTTTCGCCTCCCAGCACGCTTGCATGCAGATGCACTCGCCCAGAATTAGTACTTTTCTCTCCCACGACCCAATCAGCAAGCACCCGTCGCATGCATTGGCCCACATTAAAGTCTGGGAATTAATTGCACGCATGCTGGGAGACGTACCGATGCGGTGGCCCTCGAGACGTTCGTTGACAGATTTCACTTTTCACAGCACCACCGAGGAAGCGGCCCAATGATCCCGGACGGAGGTAGTACTAGCTATGTTACTCTCCCACTATGACCAGCCTAAACACATATACGTTGGAGAGATAGGTTGCTAAGTCTTTTAATGCACTTAGCACACCGCTTATGCTTAAAAGTTATAGTTGTATATGCCAATGCAATGCATGGTCCTTTTGGGCTCCCAATTGAACCCTTGCTGGCTCAGTCCACTGGTTGCTTAGTGTTGGGCCTTGCACCCATTGCATTGCATGGGTCAGGCCCACTTTTTCGTATCATAGGTGTTGGGTCTCTTTCTGGGTATGGAGGAAATTGTCATTTTGAATTTTGGGTTTAGGAACTCTTCTAAAGTAACAGAATTTGCCAAGTTCAAAAGCTTTGACTTTTTTCGGGTAAAATCTTTGATAAATCTACTAGTTGTTCTCTTATGTGCTCATAACTCTTCCTTTCGTTATAAAATCTAAAACAGTATCACCCAAGTGTCACAATTTCCACAGAACGACATATGCCATGCACACTTGGTGCTGAAAAGGGTCAGCCTGGAGTGCTAGAGGTTGTCAAATGGTTGACCAACTTGGAATGCTAACTATTGATTGCAATTATAATGTTCCAAGTACAAATGGCAAAAAAAAAAAACTAGCCATAACTGACCCAAGAGCATTCATTCTCCATTTTCCGACTAGTAATCTGGCTGGTTCCTCTCACATAAGAAAAATGTACGGCTTCTGGAACCAATCGATATTGCCAACACAACATGCGTGTGGGAGGTACATCATTGTCATGTTTAGGTTGACGGTGAGGGCCACATCTTCATGGTCAACTTCTATGAGGGGCAGAGGGGCAAACAAGTTCAAGGGTGTGTTTTCATGCTCTACCCCAAAAAGGAGGAGCTCGAGATCTAGCAAGTATGCAATTGACAATTTAACACTACTTTATTATGTTCAGATGAGACTATGGGATGCTCTATCTACTGCAATCTCTCAAGAGCTAGCTGAGCATTCATATCTTGTTATACTTATATCTCTCCATGATAAATCTTGCACATGTACCGTTTCATATCTATGACATGTCGACACACTCTGTGCAAAGTTCTATTCATATTCTTACCTTCTCATTTCACTTCTAATTTGTGCATTTTGCATTCAAAAGAAGAAGAAGAAAAATCTAAACAATGCACATGCTTAGGGGGGGGGCTCTATACCAGCTTTCTTAAAATACTATTACTATTTTACAAATTTCCGCAACTAGGGGTAGAAAGCCAAAAATTATATATATAGTACCATGTCATTGTCGGTAGCAATGAAAAAAGACTTTCCATTGTTGTCTCGGACAGAAAAATCCTTTTTGTTGTTAGACCAAACCGAAATTGTGCTTTTGGAACTTTCTCTTGGCAACCCCAACCAAAATGGACATTTCTCATTCCATGCAACCCTGCAGCTGAACATCTCCTACATACCCGAGCTCCTCATGGTCAAACATTGGTGACATAAAGACTATATCGATGACGAGAATCCATTGAGGCAAAGAAGAACTCGAATCATTCATCGTGGGAAACGACGTTCAATCCACACCGACCATCGTAAGTCTATGTCGCACTCGATGAGAAAATTTTCAATTAATCCACCCGTCTACTCATCTAGATGCCGCTAACATTCTAGACAATGCCCCTCATTCTATTGTTGTCATTGGTCATGCGCACCATGACCCATTTCTAATTAATACCACCTATCTACTCATCTAGATGCCGCCAACATTCTATATATTGTCCCTTGTCCTATTGTTGTCATTGGTCACATCCACCATGACCCATGCCATCTGTGTGCATGAATCAGATATTGTCAACTCCGGCATTACCTCGACATGGTTATCGGAATGTAGTTCCAAGGTGAACTTTCCATGTCATTTTGTTAGCCTCATCCATCCGAGTTCAGCCAAGTGATACTCTAGTCAATTCAATCAGGCTCACAAGAGAATAATTGACCCTTCTCGACATTCCCAAACAGTAGGCGGCTGTCCTGCCAGGGCATGATTGGCGACCTCCTGACCCTGAGCACTTAAACATCGATCAGTACGGATGCGACTGTCGCTGCTACTGAGGAGTAAAGTGGAGCTGAAGGTGGAGGTGTCGTCCGCTCCCAAAAAACCTTGTTGGGTGCATCGTGGAAATCTGACCTGGGGGTAACTGATCCAATGATCGCAGAAGCTTTAGCCCTTCAAGATGGAGTAATCCTTGCAAACCTTCAGGGTTTTGCTAATGTGGTGTTGGAGACCGATATTCTGGATATTGCTAATCTCTGGAACACTCACCTCAACAGCCATTCTGTGGTGGCATCAGTTTTTGTAATCCAGCATGTAAATTAGGCCAGCAAATGGTCCAACGCATTTGTGTGCTAGGCGTGCTTGAATTGTGTGTCACCTAGAGTTGGCTTACTGAAACTCCAAGTTTTCCGATCAACAGACAACAATCTCTTGGATGACTGCTCAAAGAACACTCTTGTTTGAATATCAATTTTGCTAAGCCTCAATCGATGCTATATTCCTTCAATCTTACATGGAGATTCGTAGAAAAAAAATTATTTTCAAATTTTTTATATGCTCTGTCACTTGACCGAGACTTGCTCAGTCGACCGAGGCGTAACCACACCCTTTGAATATTACATATACTAGAAGGGTTGGGCGCGATTTGCTGCGCCGTTAGTATCGTAGGGTTTCTTAAAAAATTACACACTCTGTTTCAAAATATTA